TGAGAATTAATATATCTATGTCTCTGCATGAGCCATTAGGAAATGGGTTAATGCAATCAAAGCTATATGAAGAATTGTTTAAGTATCTAAAAAAGACAGGAATAATGGATAGAATATGAGTTTTTTTTTCTTTTCTATCATTTATTATTCCCCTTACCAGTACTCAGATAGTTGTACCAATGTACGCTCCACACTCCAGATGAGTAGGTAGTGGACATGGACCTTTTAAATTGGTTTGCCAAACCTCCACAAATTTGAGAAGAAGATTTATGACTTCTGATAATTTGATTTAATCTTTATTTTAATTATCGCTTTATGTTATGGATATCATATTTATTTTATAGAGAACATTAAGGGCAATTTACTCAGATGCTGGTTATGTGTATGTATGTCTATATTTTCTTGTTTACTGTAATGTAATTGTCCTTTTTGCCCTTTTGCATTGTAACTGCATGGAAGAGAGAATGTTAAGGGTAATTCATTCAGGCTGCTTATGTGTTCTCTATCAGAGGAGGAATAAAAGATCCAGAGAAACTGCCACCCGCTGTCCCGTGCCTAACTACAAAAAAAAACACACAACACAGACAACAAACCAGTTACACACATAATGCTGCATAGATTAAGAGAGAATGGTAGAGAGAGGAGAAGAGACAGTTGCAGCCCATTCTCGCCCCCAAGGCGTCACTTAACTGACGCCTTGGGAAGCATTTGGACATGCTTCAATATCTGACGCTTTAGGCGCCCTTTAGCGTCAGTTAGATGACGCCCTAGGATCGCGTGTACCCTACCCCCACCCCACACCTAAACCTAACCGCGTCCTCTCACTGACGCTTTCCTTTAGCGTCAGTTAGATGACGCCGTAGGATCGCGTCATGTAAGTGACGCTAAAGGGCACCTAAAACGTCAAATATTGAAGCATGGTCAAAGGTGACGCCTTGGGGTGAGAATGCGTTGGCAGAGGAGACGAGAGGCTTTCTCTCATGGGCTTTCTCTGTCTGTGTCATTTAGTTTAAGTCACTAGAGGGAGCTGTTACTCTACTTCTCAAACAAACGGTTGAGCACATTTTGAGTCACTATTTTATCGAGAGGAGTACCTAAATTAACTCAAACTGATTTAGCCATCTCTATCATCTGGTTGAGGTAGCCTATATTATGCCCCCCCCCCCCCCCCCCCCCAAAAAAAAATCCACTAGATTTCACAGTGTCAATCAACAGCACTTGTCACAACACTTCTTCTAACATTGATGTCAGAAACAAATAAATCACCCCAGCCATGTGAACTGTTTTTGGTGAAATTTATATATATATATATATATATATATATATATTACATATTACACTGTAACTTTAATGGAAATGATGTTAAAATGATGTTACTTGGTGCTATGAAAAAACTTTAGTATATTTTTAATAATTTTTCAAAAACATGCTCAATCAACCGGTTGATTTGGCACATAATGGTAAATTATCACCCCCTTTTTGAGAATGAACATTACAATGCACTATTAAAACTTTGTAATTCAAGTATGCTTTGGAATAAAGACCTAGTCTTGTTTTAAAGAAAACACTCAGCAGATTATTGCTGACGTAAAAACACTTCAAAAAATAAAACTATGAAAAAGTTATGGAAGTTTTAAATTTACATTAAATCAAATATACTGTACTAACTACAAAATCAAAGCCATATATCTAATCAACTTGTGTTCTAAATTTGAAGTTGATATGAAAAAAAAATTGAAGTTCTCATGAGATTTTGTTTAGACGTTGACATGAGTAGATGACATCAATTCCATTGAATTTAATTGTATGCATTCTGCTGAAACAAATTAATACATTTCTGTCCAAATATCACTTCTGTAACAAAATATGGACCCTTGAGACTCAGACCTTTCTGACAATGTGTTTTGTCAAGATTAGAAAAGGTTTTGATCAAAATATGATGGGCAATGAAAAAGTATGGCAAAGTATGTGTATGAATTCCGGTACCATTTATTACCATTAAGTGACATCTCAACCATTTGGTAGAGGCCGATATTTAAAAAATTATGGGATGTCTTGAAAAAAAATCGGTAACACGGTTAGAGTACGGTTCCTTCGTTAATGAATAACTACACAAGAACCATTGAGTAACACAATATTAACAATCTAGTAACTATTATTAACTAACTAGAAACTAGATGAAAGTGGTACTTCACTAGGCTATTAACTAATCAATAACTACTATTTTTTAATGCTTCCCAGAGAACTACTGAAAAAGTTTTTTTAACAATCTAGTAACTACTTTTAACTAAAAATAAACTCTTATTAATTAATTAGTAAGTAATAGTGCACAGATGAAAGTGGTACTTCATACTTCTTTGGGAATTACTAATTATTTGGATCCGTATTATAAAGTGAAGATCATGGGAACTAACTGGTAAAACTGTTACTACATGATCCTGATTTGTGCAACAAAACACAAGTCATTTCAAGCGTTTGAGATTTTTGGTGAACTTAAGTATATTTTTAGAAAAATTTTTTAGAAGTATGTAGTAACACTTGAGTCATTACTAGTTAGTTCCCATGATCTTCACTTTAGAATACGGATCCAAATAATTTAGTAATTTCCACAGAAGTATGTAGTAACACTTGTGAACACTTGTAACACTAATGAAAAGCCAAGAAACTGTATAATAACACCTCCCCAAAAAATATGTTTTTATGTATGTCTCCTTGCTTATATATACTGTGTATATATATATATATATATATATATATATATATATATACGTATACACACACACACACACACACACACACACACACACACACAATATACTCATATTCATGTATATATTTAAGAAAAATGTGTTATTAATATAAAAAATATTTATATTTATGTATAATATTAATTTTTAATAAATGTATATAAAGTACAGTATATACAATATTTCTTAAATATATATTCATGCATGTGTGTGCATTTATATATACAAAATAATGAATGAATGAATTACATGTGACAAACAAGGGAAACATATAGGCGAAATAAGACCTTGGAGATGGCAGTGCATGCGTTTATTACGTCACGTCTTGACTATTGAAATTCGTTATACTGTGGCATTTCTAAGGCCCAAATTGCCTGTCTCCAGTTAGTGCAAAATGCTGCCTCGAGATATCTATTGAAAAAGAAGAAAAGGGATCACGTCACTCCACTTTTAAAGGCTCTTCATTGGTTGCCATTGCAATTTAGAATACATTTTAAAATTCTCCAATTTGTTTTTAAATCTTTGCACTTTCAGTCACCTGGCTACCTACTGTATCTGACCTGCTGCATAAGTATATCCCCTCAAGAAGCTTAAGATCTGGAGATCAGAATCTTATTTTAATTCCACATTTGAGACTTAAACGCAGAGGTAACCGTGCCTTTTTAATAATCGGTCCACGCCTCTGGAATGAGTTGCCAGTGGAAATTCGATTGGCTCGGAGTTTGACCCTTTTTAAGTCTCTTTTAAAAACTCATTTGTTTTCTTTGGCATATCAGGATTGTTTTATTGCTTTTTGGAAAACTTGATGGAATAGTTACTGTCTGCTTTAAAGTGGACTGTGTTCACTCAATGTTCTTTTTTCTGCACTTTGGTCAGTCTGCGACTGTTTTAAATGTGCTATATAAATAAGTAAACTTGAACTTGAACTTGAAACTTAAAGTAGCACTTAGTAGGACTTTTTACCTTCAAATAATGTTACCAAAATCGTTTCAGTGGTTCATCAAGTCATGACATGGTGAAACGCACTTATGCCACCGCTTTGCGGTCCTTTATCTGGTATATCCACGATATGTAAGATTACACTTGGTATATATTTTCCATTTGTCATGTTTTCTGTCACCATTTGACATTTTTCCCTTCAAACTCTGAAATAGTCTACTGTTAACACACAGGGTTTCCGTGACTGTACAAAGCAAGAGAATGAGGCAACAGATGCGATTGGCTGTCTGCGAAGCACCTAGCAGTAACTTTCTATCTACGTTTAGTTTTACATTTGGCTGTGATGTTGAAAATTTTTTTTTTAGATGTAGCTTTGTGTTTTGCGGTAGGTAGTATGCAATACGGAACCATTGCCACTGAACCAACTTTAACCAAGACAGTGGGGCTCGACAGCCTTAGTCAGAGGGGTGGGCGCGTATGGTTGGGTTGCGGAGACATTGTGAGATTGTGGTTAGGTCACGTGTCAACTACAAGAAAGGAGCAACCTCAGCAGCAGGAGGGATGTAGAGGTCAGTAAGCTGGGCTGAGTTGAGTGGGGGACGGACGGGTGTGACTCTGGGATGCCAGAGTCACTGTCGAGCCATCTTGAGGTGTTGTGGGCTAGTCGACGAAACACTGAGGATGGAAGGTGCCCACTTGAAGACCCTAGTCAAGTCAAGTCACATTTATTTATATAGCGCTTTTTACAATACAGATTGTTTCAAAGCAGCTTCAAAGTGATAACATGAAAGTAATACAACACAGATCAATAATATTGTTGAATATTAAATGTCCCCAACTTAGCAAGCCAAAAGCAAGGCAACAGTGGCATGTCCCTTACTTGGCTCAATCCAGACGGTAGTACACTGCAGCCATTAACGCCGGACAGAAGGAGATTCACATCACCATATGGAAAGAAGCGTAAATGAATGGAGAAGCATAGTTACTGTAAAGCTACGTCTTAGTTTGTGCTTATCTTGGCGAAAGCCGAGCACAAATCAGCATGAAGTTTTAACATCTACTCTCGTGTAATGGAAATCAGATCTTGTATTGAAATTATAATAGGAATGTTATTTTACTTGCTTCTGTGTGTAAGAAATTACATCTGATGGCCTAGTTGTTGATAAGCTACTCAAGGCTATTTCCATGTGACATTGCACACCAATATGATGGGGTACTTATGATGGGGTAAAGTGTAAGGGGTCGGGAGCAACCATGATTAAAAAATGTTTAAAACCATAATGTCCATATAAAAATAAAAGATAGAAACGCATAGAAGTTTCAAACTGAATTTTATTGCAGATTATTAGGAAAATGATCAGGTAAAGGCCCAACCAAGGGTTTGTTTCCCGTACAATGACATAACTCGCTGCTTCACTACCATAGTACAATGCATCATTGAAGAAATCAACTAGCTAGTCACAACTTTTCCAGAAACTGTACTGGAGCCAAATTGGTTAATGATGTCACACAGGCGGTGGAGTAAAAAACACTTTTAATTAAGCTGTTTGTGATCAAATTAATACTAATTAATGATGTTTTGCTGTAAATTACGGACATCTGAGGACTATTTCTAATTTTACCAAGTTATTGTCTTTATTTACAGATTCAATCATAGGCTTGTTTTTAGGTTACTAGAGCATGTTTGCACGTGCACCCTCTTCAAAAATGTTGCTTTAAAGCTCATGTCAAACTAAAAGACGTAAGTGACATTATGTATCAAAGAAAAGAATGGGAAAAAAAAGTGATGACTGGTGTGAATTCTTTGTCTCGGTGGTCTTTGGATGTAAGAGATCGTTATTCCAAGAAACTTGAATAATGTTGAAAAAGATAAAAAAAGACTGTATTTCATCATTTAAAAAACTGGTGACAAGTACACACCTACGTGTTGCGACTAACAAGCCTAGGTGTGTACTTGTGTATGTACAACTTTGCAATCCTGTTTGCGATTTTTTGTTGGAACTTGTTTCGGGAAACACCGACTCGTTGAACTATGCTGATAACGAAGGAACCTGCAACCAGTTGGCTAACAATACTTTTGGGAAATGCACCCCTGGATGAACAAAGAGCTAGTTATTAGCTATGATGGATTTGATCCAGTCAGTGTAGCGACACAACTCAACATAAACCCCAGGAAAGCCTGGTTGAGCACAGCCTCTACCCCAGGAAACAACACCTTTCAGTTTCCCCTTGCACACCACAGGGCCACCAGAATCCCCCTGAGAAGAAAATTGGAAAATGAAAAGGACAAAACTGTGTTTGTTTAAAAGTATAAAAGTAATCTAAAGAGGAAGACTAAGTCAATGGCATACCTGACACGAGTCTTTGCCTCCCGCCATGAATCCGGCGCAGAACATGTTTCTAGTTATTCTTGCTGGACCATATGCTCCCTTACACTGCGCATTTGAGAGTACAGGCAGATTCAAACACTGCAGGGAAGCAGATTGACCTGGAAAAAGAATATGAACAGTGCTAAAACTTGTAAAATGACTGAATGCATGTTTAATATCTGACCATAAAAGTATAAGAAGATTTTCATTACTCAGCCATCTCACCTCCAGTTTTGCCCCATCCAGAAACCAAGCACTGTTCCCCTGCAGAAGAGCAGTTGGTTGCCAGACGGATCGGCTTCACATACTTGTTGAAGAGGGCAGTCTTGCTCAGCTTGATCAGCATGATATCATTGTTATGAGGCTTATCATTATAGTTTGGGTGACGAATCACCTTCTCTGCATTGATCAGCTGCTCGGTGTCTTCAGGAATAGACACCTTGTGCTTTCCCAAGCGAACTTTGAGATAACGAGGTCTATTTGACAAGGAATATTTTCTCAGGTCTAATACAATATATTCATAATATATGTACACATTCAGAAAGAGGAAGCATGTAACAACCTGTTGCCAATTGATTCCTTAAAAAGGTACTTTATAAAGAAAAAGGAATGTTTCATGAGGAAGTAGGTTTAACATGAAACAAAAACAAAAAATAGAACTTAAAAAGGGAGATTATATACTCACGAGAACTTGCAGTGAGCTGCAGACACAACCCATCTTTCATCAATCAAAGATCCTCCACACATGGTACGTCCATTCGTAAGGTACGCTTGCCAGGGCTGGGAGTGGGGCGGACATTCATAACCTCCAATGATTTTATCACCTGTGCTGCAAACTTGAAAAAAAATTATTGTTCTTTTATTGATATTAATGCTAAATCAATCAGTCAATCAACTTTTATTTATATAGCTTAATAAACAGGAATATATATATATATATATACAGTATATAAAACATACCGTGAAACAAATGATAAAAGCAGTTTACATTGAAATCAACATTAAAATCAAGGACAGTTGTAAGCCTGTGAAAAGAGGTAGGTTTTTAACTTAGATTTAAAGACAGACTTTGTGTATACTATGTGTTAGGCAAGAGGAAGACTATTACACAATTATGGACCAACAATAGAAAAAGCGCGGTCACCCTCATCTTAAGTCTAGATCTCGGAACCATCAGCAGTCTATGTTGAGATGACCTTCATGATCTAGCAGAGTTATTTAATTTCAAAAGATCAGAGAGATATTTTGGAGCTAACCCGTTTATAGCTTTTAAAACAAAAAGCTGAATTTTAAAATCAATTCTGTAACAAACTGGCAGAAGCGAATGAAGTTGGGGAAAGGTCCTTCAAAAGTCTGGCTGCGGCATTCAGAATTATCTGAAGATGACTAGAATTGGACTGACTCATTCCAATTGCCTATAAAAAGAATTACAATAGGCAAGTCTAGATGAAATTAACGAATGGATCACTCTCTCAAACTCTGCAAATGTTAAAAAAAAAAACTCTTAGCCTTAGGTAATACTCTCAATTGGAAATTTGAAATCCAGTTTAAACCCAGAAACACAATTGAACTCCAAAATTACTCTGCAGTTGTTCCAAAACAACTTTCTCTTACATTTTTTAAAACAAAAGATACATTTGAAATAGGTCTATAATTGAAAAGTATGGTTGGATCAAGATTTGTTTTTTTTTTTAAGTAAGGGTTTAACGGTGACTTGTTTTAGGTATTTAGGAACAACACCTGTGAGAAGGGACTTCTTACAGTATATCTAAAATATAAAGACTATCTTTAATAAATAATAATAATAAAAGCAATATATAATAGTCTTTCTAAAGACTATAAGTGTAGGCATAAACTAACAATTATCTATAACTACTACAATAAGAGAGATCTACATACCCACAGCTACAACCAGAAAAGTGAACACAACAGTCTTCATTGCAGTAAAGGAGAGAAGTGCTCACAGCTTTAGAGTACTTCTGCAAAGTTCAGGAATAGCATTTATGCTTTTAAGCAAATGATTGAACACCCACTGAACCCACAGAACAGCCAAAGGGGAGCTTGCCTGAAGAGAAAGATAAGTGCTTTTGGGAACTGAATTTCCGCACAATTGATGCTTGTAGTGGACGACTGGGTCGGGTGTGTCTGTTTTATTCGGATGTACTAAATACGTTGCCATTTTCCCACGGAGCTTCCAGCGAGTGGTGAACAGAGACTCACGCCTAGGCCTTGACTTTGTGAGTGCAGTGTTTTGCAGTGCTTCACATGTCCTTTTTTTCACGTGTGTTTGTGCGTGAAGGTTGCCACCGGACACGAGTGTGGGGTGTTAGCCAAGGCAGTGGTGGGTTGGGATACTGCAACACTGGTGAGATACCTTCTCTCTCTGCTCAAGCCCTGTGAATGCACTGTAACGTTGATGAAGCATCGACCATCCTCTCTCTTTGAGTTCTATGAGTATGCAGCAACGCTGGTGAGATACGTACAGTACCTTCACTCTATGCTTGAGCCCTGTGAATGCACTGTAACGTAGATCATCCTCTGCTTGAGTCATCATAAGTACACAGCAACGCTGGTGAGATGCATACCTACTCTCTCTGCTTGAGCCCTGTGAATGCACCGTAATGTTGATCATCCTCTGCTTGAGTCCAATGAGTACGGAGCAACGCTGGTGAGATGCGTACCTTCTATCTCTGCTCGAGCCCTGTGAATGTACTGTAATATTGAAGCATTGATCATTGAAGCATAGCCGGTGAACCACGGAGCATTCTGTCCTTTGGAGTTCTGTGACTATACTGCTGCGTTGGGAGAACCGAAGCCGCTTTCCCATCTGGGCTCTGTGAAGAGGAGTTCCCTGGAGATCCATCACTGAGTCACGTTGCTTACCAAAAAAAGATTGCTGCTTTTAGATGATTTATAAGTTAATAAAGCATTAGTCCTTTTTACACGTTATCTGTCTGCCTTTGTGTTCTTATGGTGTTGGTTCCTCACGGTGGTACGTAGTTGAGGGGCGTGGCCAGTCATCAGAGTCCGTCCCGACCTGTGCCGCAGCCCATTCTCACCCCCAAGGCGTCAGTTAGGCACTTGACCTTGCTTCAATATCTGACGCTTTAGGCGCACTTTAGCGTCAGTTAGATGACACCCTACACTGTCAGAAAAAAAGGTACGAGAGCTGTCAGTGGGGCGGTACCTTTTCAAAAAGGTACACTTTTGTACCAAAAGGGTGCATATTGTACCATGAAGGTACCAATATGCACCCTTTAGGTACAAAAGTGTACCATGAAGGTACCAATATGCACCCTTTAGGTACAAAAGTGTACCATGAAGGTACCAATGTGCACCCTTTAGGTACAAAAGTGTACCATGAAGGTACCAATATGCACCCTTTAGGTACAAAAGTGTACCATGAAGGTACCAATATGCACCCTTTAGGTACAAAAGTGTACCATGAAGGTACCAATGTGCACCCTTTAGGTACAAAAGTGTACCATGAAGGTACCAATATGCACCCTTTAGGTACAAAAGTGTACCATGAAGGTACCAATGTGCACCCTTTAGGTACAAAAGTGTACCATGAAGGTACCAATGTGCACCCTTTAGGTACAAAAGTGTACCATGAAGGTACCAATATGCACCCTTTAGGTACAAAAGTGTACCATGAAGGTACCAATGTGCACCCTTTAGGTACAAAAGTGTACCTTTTGAAAAGGTACCGCCCCAGTGACAGCTTTCGTACCTTTTTTTCTGACAGTGTAGGATCGCGTGTACCCTACCCCCACCCCAGACCTAAACCTAACCGCGTCCTCTAACTCAGTGTTTCCCAACCCTGTTCCTGGCGGCACACCAACACTGCGTGTTTTCTTTGTCTCCCTAATCAAACACACCTGACTCAACCCATCAGCTCATTAACCCACCTGATTATGAGCTGATGGGTTGAGTCAGGTGTGTTTGATAAGGGAGACAAAGAAAACACGCAGTGTTGGTGTGCCGCCAGGAACAGGGTTGGGAAACACTGCTCTAACTGACGCTTTCCTTTAAGTTAGATGACGCCGTAGGATCGCCTCATGTAAGTGACGCTAAAGGGCGCCTAAAGCGTCAAATATAGAAGCATGGTCAAAGGTGACGCCTTGGGGTGAGAATGCGTTGTGTGTCGGTGACATGAGGACCTAAACAATAAACTAGCGTATTGCCTTAAAGTACACAATGTTTAATTTATGAGCACATTTAACTATTTTGTATTCACAACATTCAATTAAAAAATATCATTGAAGAAATAATCTTTTTTTTCTTTTCTTTTTTTTTTTAAATGTCATTGCCTTTGGCAGATCCAAAAGTGCAGTATTATCTAAATATCAGATAATCAGAATCAGCAGTAAAGGGTCAGTAACAAAGGGGAAAATATGGGCTCCTGTTTTGGTTAAGATGATGCCAGACAATTTATTAAGTCTGGCAGTGAGATTTAGATGATAGAATCTGGGATCCATGCAATTGAAAATTCAGTAATGCATTAGCTAAAATATGTGCTTTAATTGTATTGAAAGCACTAGAAAAAAAACATAATTTGTACAGAATGAAGTACACCTTACAGCTACAATGTTAGTAGAGTCACAATCTCAATTGTCACTGAAACTGTGTGGGTTCATTTTACACATCCATTGCAACAAAACCACAAAACCATTCTTAGCTTCTGAGAAAACTTTAGTCCAATCTCTTCAGACCGTTTTATTTTTGGTGGTGTGGAGTTTAGAGAAGTGAAAAAAGAAGTACATATGTACACACTGTGTGTACATATGTACTTCTTTTTTCACCGGCTCTAGGTTATTTGGTGCCCAAGGCGAGAGTGCCTCACACCCCCCCCCCCCCCCAAAAAAAAAAAACGATATATTTTATATATATATATATATATACAAATCCGGCATAAACCTGAAAATTTTTACACAGAAATGAAGGCCTAGCACTACAGCATAAATGCAATGTATCATAAAAAATAATATTTCATATGCAAGCTAATGGTGTAGTTGAGGAATTTTGTTATAAATAAATAAAAATGTATATCTCCAAAAACACTGCATTAATGAATAGATGAGAAGTAAACAAAAAAATATAATATTTGTATGATTAAAAATGTATATTTGTTGTACAAAAAACGAAGACCAATTGAAGGTATAATGCCGACGAACTAGTGCTGATGAAAGCCGATGTCACCTCTCGTCCCCTCTCGTCGGGGTAAAAAGCTGCACTTGAACCATGACTGAAAGAGAACAGGCGACTGTCAGCTAGAATGTGCGTTCTGCGTTTGCGTGCAATGAGCCAACTGTCTATTTCTGCAGATATATTACTCTATATTCGTCATTCAAAAAGGAAAACCGACGCTGCCGCCGCAGATAACGTTACACATAACGTAAACAAAGCAGCGCATGCTTACCATTTTGAATATACGCGGGCATCCCCTTGTCAACATGTCGAATCGGGCGAAACAAAGCCGACGAGGACTATTTTGAGCCGACGGCACGGAACCGCGTGGAACACACCGAGGAAACTAAAGCGCTAAAACCTGCTGTCAGATGTTTTCGCGCCACTCCCGGTTTCTGAGCAACGCGCGTGAGTTTGACAGCTGCTTGTCAGAGTGACTCAGTCGTTTTTTACGATTGTATAATCTTGTAAAAGAAATGTACAAAAACAAGCAGTGTGTGGACAATGCACAGTAAAAGTGTACAGCGTGTGTGCAGCTTTCATCATACGATACATTTAATTAACTTTTTTTTTCAATTCTGCAATTTGCGCCCCGTCCAGCAGATGGCGCCCCAGGCGGCCGCCTGTGTCGCCTGTCGGCAAAGCCGGCCCTAGAGACACAAACACGCTATCAAAAACCGGCTCGTTAGGCACAACAAAGACAACACGTTGGATAATGATCAAAACGAATACAATTTATTAAAGAAGAATTAAAAGGTAAAAAGTTGAATTACAAATAATGTGTAAATTGGTTTGGTTGATTGATATTTTTATTTTGAACATGTAAATACAAGTAAAATCAGAGAAAGAAAAAATTTGGTAAAAAACAAAAACAAAACAGATGAACAACACAATAAAACTCCATACTTTTCAGTGCTTGTTGGGATATTTGAGTATGGTTTGGAGTAAAAGGGAGTAAGATTATTGATGTCATCAGAGTTTGCCATACCTTGTCTTTTGGTGAACTGACACCATTGAAACTATACTACAAGAGAACTTATGCTGTTAGTTTACTCATTTTTAGTGTCCACTTCTTAAACTTCTTCCTTCTGTCAATTTGATCGACTTCAAAAAACAAAACAAAAAAAAAACAGAAAATCATGAAGTCCTTTGACTGAATATACTGTATATACTATACAGCCTAATGTACAGTACCTCCATATTTCTGTTAACATCAGAAAACAAACATCTCATTGGCCAACTCTTCCCTTTAACCTGCGGTTTGTGAAGGGCGTTTTGTCATTGATGGTGTCAAGTTTAGATAAGTGAATTGAGAAAAGTACAGATGTTGGTCACTGTCACACACAGCGCCTATGTCCACCCCCTGCATGCATGGCCAAGGTCATGTCTATGAACTGGGCCTCCGAGGGGGCCCAGCTCATAGATTCCGGTCTCTCAATCGAGGTTGTTGAGACCATCCTTCACTCCAGAGCTCCATCCACGAGGAAGCTATATGCCTTGAAGTGGAAACTTTTCAGGACCCAGTCAACTGCCCAGTGGGTGCAGTGCTGGAGTGAAGGATGGTCTCAACAACATCAGTTGAGAGACCGGAATCTATGAGCTGGGAGTAAACTACTGCAGGACCCAGTTAACTGCCCAGTGGGTGCAGTGCTGGAATTCCTGCAGGAACGTTTCTCTACAGGATTATCCCCCTCCACACTAAAGGTGTATGTAGAGGCACTAGCCGCTTACCCCGTCACTTTTAGTAGAGTTTCTCTTGGGAGACATCCGTGTATAATTTGTTTCCTTCGTGGTACTTTGAGGCTGAGGCTA